TGCTGGAAATTAAAAACTCAAGGAAATATTGTAACATGTTGAAACTGAACAACATGCTCCTGAATGAACAGTGGGTCACAGAAGAAATCAAATAGAAATCAAAAAAATTCTGAAATTAATGAATATAATGATACAACATATAAAAACTTACGGGGTACAGCAAAAGCAGTGTTAAAAGGGAGCTGATAACTATTGGTGCCTGCCTCAAGAAATTGGAAAGGCACTAAATGCACCTAAAGTACCTGAAAAACAACAAACAAAACTCTAAATTAGTAGGAGGAAAGAAATAATTAAAATTAGAGAATAAATAAACAAAACTGATACCCAAACATACAAAAGATCACAGAAATGAAGATCTGATTTTTTGAAAAAAATAAATAAACAAAATTGATATGCCATTAACCCAACCAACCAAAAAAAAAAAAAAGAGAGAGAGAGAGAGAGAGAAAGACCAAAATCAAAAGAATAAGACATGAAGAAGAAATGTAACAGATATCACAGAAATAAAAAGAATCATCAGGAATTACTAGAAAGAACTATATGCAACAAATTGGAAAAAATCTAGAAGTGGATAGATTCCTGAAACATACGATCTACCAAAATTGTGTCATGAAGACATAGAAAACCTAACCAGACCAATAATCATAATGGAGATTGAATTAGTAAAAACACTGACAACAAAGTAAAGCCCAGTACTAAATTTCATCACTGCTGAATTCTTCCAGACATTTAAGGAATGACAAATTCCAATTCTTCTCAAGCTACTAAAAACAATTGAAAAGGAGGGAATCCTCCAAAACTCCTTCTGTGAAGCCAGTATCACCCTAATTCCTAAACCAGAAAAAGGACCAACCAAGAAAGAGTACCATAGATCAAAATCCCTAATGAATATAAATGTAAAAATCCTCAAAAAATACTAGCTAATCGAATCCAACAAAACATCAAAAAAATCATTTACACAGACTATGTAGGATTTATCCCTGGTGTGCAGGGACAGTTCAATATTTGCAAATCAATAAATGTGATGCACCACAATAACAAAGTGAAGAACACAAACTATATGATTATTTCAATCTATGCAGAGAAAGTATTTGATAAAATACAACCTCCTTAAGAAAACTAGGTATAGAAGGAACATTTTTCAACACAACCAAGACGATTTATGACAAACCCACAATAAACCTCTTAATGGGGCCAGCACTGTGGGATAGCAGGTTAGCCATAGCCTGCCATGCCGGCATCCCATTTGGGTGCCAGTTTGAGTCCTGGCTGCTCTGATCCAACTCTCTGCTATGGCCTAGGAAAGAAGTAGAAGATGACCCAAGTACTTGGGCCCCTGCACCCAGGTGGGAGATTTGAAGGAGGCTCCTGGTTGCTGGCTTCAGATCGGCACAGCTCCGGATGTTGTGGCCACCTGGGGAGTAAACCAGCAGATGGAAGACTTCTTTCTTTCTCTCTCTCTCTCTGCCACTGCCTCTCTGTAACTCTGCCTTTAAAATAAGTAAAAGTAGAAATATAAACTTTTTTTAAAAAACGACAAAATCCACTTGTACATCTGAGACATCTCATTGTCAAAATGTCCAAAGTGGAAACAATCATCTCCCTTGGCCACCTCTGCCTCTGTAACTCTGCCTTACAGATAAATAAATAAATCTTTAAAAATATACATATTACCTACAAACTTAATTGAAAGATAGAATATAAATTAGAACTTATGAGAATGTGAGAGGAAGGTAAGAGTCAAAAATTAATTAGTAAGATCATAATGTGGTCAATAAAAGTTGGAGAAAAGAACATAGGGATTCTGTTAGTTAATAATAATAATGACGATATGTTAACAATATATTATATTTCTTAACACTTCATGCAATTACCACAACAATTCTACTGCATTTATTCTAGTGTGGCTAATTCCTACCTACCACAGCCCAGTAGGATTGGTATCCCTATTTTGCAGGTAAGGACAGATTTGTCTAACAAAAAAATGTTATTTTCTTACTCTAATAAGAAAAAATAACACTTGTCCATGCTACTTCCAAATGATTTTTACATTTATTTTCTTATGTATTTGACAACAAACACTGGATATAAGATTTACAGATGAGGAAACTGAGGCTCAAAGAAATTGAATAAATCATGAAAATATACAAAAGAGGTTTAAAAATCCATGGAAAGTGCACATTATCACTAATTCTATTTTTATATGGATTTTTTAAAACTTCTCATATATGGTATATAAAAAGTTGAGCAAGAACTTACAGTGGAGCTTTTTCTTCCAATGATTATGCCCTCTCCACTTCATTCCACTGGGTTCTAAAAACTGCTATCTAATGATATAAATAATTAAGCTTGCATATCCAGATGATCCTTTACTGAGAAAGGTGAAGGGTTAGGGCTGCATTTTCAAGGCTATCATCTAAGATGAAAATAAAATATTTGTATTTGCTGAATAAAAATAAAAGAGGCTGTTGACAAATACAAGATAACTTAATTTTGAGTTCTCTTGCATTTGGCTAAAAAGTGTAGTTGAATCTTTGTAAAACTGAAATTTAATGGGTTTTTTTTTTTTTGAGAACTTAAAATATTTAGACACAGTCCTAAATTTTGAAATTAACATAAAAGAAAACGCGGCCTGTATAAAACAAATCACTTGATAAAAGTGGAATGTTAAGCAGTGGGTGAAACTGCCCTCCTAGCTAAGACCCTTTCTCATTACAACATTGTTCAAAGTGTTTCAGAGTAGAATACCCTGGCTAGGTAGACAATGAGGGTAGCAGGAAGGGATTTCCACTAGGTGGCAACAAGTGCTCAGAGGCCAGAAATTATGACACGTGAAATGGGAAACCACAGGTCACCAGGTATTGTTGGTGAGTAGGCTGTGTGGAAGTAGACAACAGACTGTTAGGAAGGGGTTTCTAAAAGTGGAGTTGACTAAAGAAAGGTGATGCATTAATTCCAGTGCTAGAGAAGAGCAAATGATAAGATTGACTGTCGGATGATTCTTTTTCTTTTGCTGAGTCCCTGAGTTATTAGGTGGCCTTACCCATCCAAATCCTCCAATTCTTTTACAGCCTAATCCCTGCCCTGGATTCCTTCTTTGATTCCCAATCAGTTGTTGCTTCTGTCCATTCTGCAAAGATCTCCAAAAGCAATTCTTATTTATTTTACCTTATTCGGGCACATTCCCATTTATTTTACTTGAGCCAGACACATATAATATCACAAACAACCTTTGTATATTATTGCAAAGGTTGACATGATTATTTTATGTTGTCTCTGTCTTTGACTAGCTAATTAAGCAATTTTATTCATTTTTCAAAAATATTTCTCTTTGATACTGGCTTATTTTAACAAGCATAATAGTTTCTAATTGCATCCACTCTGTTGCAAATGTCAGGATTTCATTGTTTTTGCCTGAGTAGTATTCCATTGTGTATATATACCACATTTTCATTATCTAGTCATCATTTGATGTATATCTGGGTTGATCCTATATCTTAGATATTGTGAATTTAGACAGATATGTTTTCTGTGATTTGTGGTAATACAGAACACAAAAAATGTAATGTGCATGAATGAAATTAAAATTTTGAGATTTGAATTATTATTTACAGCCCTTGTTTATACCCCTGTTAATTTCTTAGCAGCGGATCAAGCTTGCGGTTATAAAGTAAATACAAATATGTCATTGCAAATATTCAAAGGAAAATAAAAAAAGAGGAAGGTGGAAGGGAGTGAGGAAGGGAGAGAGGTTATGATGGGAAGTACCATTATGTTCTTAAACTATACATATCAGGCCGGTGCTGCAGCTCACTAGGCTAATCCTCCACCTGCAGCGCTGGCACACCGGGTTCTAGTCCCAGTTGGGGCGCCGGATTCTGTCCCGGTTGCCCCTCTTCCAGGCCAGCTCTCTGCTGTGGCCACGGAGTGCAGTGGAGGATGGCCCAAGTGCTTGGGCCCTGCACCCCGTGGGAGACCAGGATAAGCACCTGGCTCCTGGCTTCGGATCAGCGTGGTGCGCCAGCCACAGTACGCTGGCCGTGGCGGCCATTGGAGAGTAAACCAACGGCAAAAGGAAGACCTTTCTCTATGTCTCTCTCTATCTCACTGTCCACTCTGCCTGTCAAAAAAAAGAAGAAAAAAAAAAGAAAAAGAAAAAAGAAAAAAAATACTGTACATATGAAATACATGAAATCTGTTCCAATTGCATAAATAAAGGTAACTTGGTCCACTGTTGGTGGAAATGTAAAATGGTGCAGCCATTGTGGAAGACAGTATGGAGATACCTCAGAAATCTTAATATAGACCTAAGATATACAGCCATTCCATTACTGGGGATTTACCCAAACCAAAAGAAATCAATATATGAAAGAGTTATCTGTACCCCCATTTTCATTGCAGCAAAATTCACAAGCTAAGATATGGGATCAGTCCAGATTTCCATCAACAGTTGAATGGATGAAGAAATTATGGCATATATACACTATGGAGTACTACTCAGCTATAAAAAAAAATGAAATCCTGTCTTTTGCAAAAAGATGATGCAACCAGAAACCATTATACTTAGAGAAATAAGCGAGTCCCCCAAAGACAGAGATCATATGTTTTCTCCTGATTTAACTAATAGATTACCTGAATTGTAATTTATTGGAGTGAAATAGACATTTTGAGATTTGATGATTGTTTACAGCCCTTGTCTTTTGCTTTGAGGAACAGTGTTGGTTTTTTTTTTCATACTGCTTGATGAACTTTTACTAAATGTAGGGTTGACTCTATGATTCTCAAATTAACTGAAAATAGATCTCTGTAAAAATTTAGAGTGGGAATGTGAGAGGGAGGAAGAAGAAGGGTGGGAGCATGGGTGGGAGAGAGGGTAGGGTGGGAAGTATTGGTATATTCCTAAATCTGTATGTATGAAATACATGAAACTTGTTTAACTTAAATCAATATTTTTTGAAAAAAATAATATATTTAAAACTTCAGCTCTGCCCCAAAGCAGAATCCCCTCCTTCATTCAGTCAGCTATTTTGATTTCATTCTGTCCCAGGCTGCCCAAAAAGTTCATCAACTTCCCAACAACCCAAACAACTCTGAGTTCTTTCTGTTACATTCCTGTGTTCCTGTGACATTCAGGCTTTTGCAGGTTGATGAATGTGTGGTTTTTGTTCTTTACTCCTTTCACCCAACTTCTGTTCAATGGGCTCCAGAACTGAACTCTAGTGATTGTGGGTACCGCTCCATTTTTTCCTGGTTAGAGACTCTCTGAGACCTGAAATAGACTAATCTTGTCAGGAGAGTTTCCTGCCAATAGCCCTCTGCAGAGCGTCTTTGACCTCTTTGTTCCTCAGAGTGTACACCACGGGGTTCAGCAGGGGTGTAATGACTGTGTAGGTCACAGAGATCAGCTGGTCCTCACCCATGGTGTTCTCTGACTTGGGCTTGAGGTAGGCAATGGAGGCACAGCCATAGTGGACAATAACCACGATGAGGTGAGAAGCACAGGTGGCAAAGGCCTTCTTTCTTCCCTCAGCAGTGGCAATCTTGAGGATGGTGGAGATGATGAGGATGTAGGAGATGAAGACCAAGCCCATGGGGATGAGGATCACCAGCACACTGATGACCAAAGTGAGGATCTCATTGACAGTGGTGTCAATGCAGGAGAGCTTCATCACTGGCCGAATGTCACAGAAGAAGTGGGCCACCTTTGTGATGCAGAAGGGCAGCCTGAACACAGCGGACACCTGTGTCACTGCTACAATTAGACCAATGCTGAAGGCCCCCCACACCAGCTGAGTGCACACTCTCTTGTTCATGATGACTGAGTACCTCAAAGGGTTGCAGATGGCCACGTAGCGGTCATACCCCATCGCTGTGAGCAGGAAGCAGTTGTTAATGGCCAACATCACAAAGAAGAACATCTGAGTAGCACAGCCAGCCAAGGAAATGGGCTGACTGAGGACTACGAGGCTCAAGAGCATCCTCGGTATAATAACCAGTGTGTACACTGTCTCTGAAGCTGACAGCATGCTGAGGAAGAAGTACATGGGGGTGTGGAGGTGGCGATCAAGGCTGATGATGGTCACGATGATGATGTTGCCTGCTAGTGTTAATATGTATAGTGCAAAGAACACTACAAAAAGCGTGAGCTGGTGCTCACGGAAGCTGGAGAAACCTTGAAAAACAAACTCACTCACCAAAGTGCAATTCTCTGTCTTCATTAAATCACATACAGTATCTAAGAGAAAAAATGGCATATGAGGAACTTAGTGGATCACTGCTGTCAAATAGAAGGATGGGTAAATTCTGAGACTAATCTACCTCAGGTGTCTGCTTATTTATATTCACATTCATCTTTAAGTCTTATGAGAGTAGAGAGTGAAATGCTCTTTTCTTAATAAGAGGAAAGTGCATAGCTTTTAGAGTCAAATGTTATACACTTATTTCCTACTTTTATCATGAGTTAACTTATCTTGGGCAAGGATTTAACACATTTAACATCCCTAAGACCAATTTCCTCATCTTTATATGGATGTAGTGGTGATGACATCATAGCATTGTTGACAAAATAAATTTTATGCTGTTTGCTATAATACTTATATTAGAATTAGAAAAAAAAATAGAGAATACATTTGAGGTTAGTGGTGTCAGGCAGAATTCTAGACCCTATTGCCACCTATTAATTCCTGGGCTTCTGCAGTTTGGGGGGAGCTCTTGCTCTGATGATACTGCTCTTGTCAATCCTATCCTTGTTTACTCTTTTCTAGATATCTCTCATTTTCAAAGCCAAACATAGTCCATGTCTCCTATAAAATCTTTTAACCCTTTCTATTTCTCTTTCTGAGGCCCTCATGTCATTGCACACATGGGCAACATTTTTACTTTAGTGACTTTTTTTATTGCAAGCATCTTATAGTGCACTTGTGACTACAAAAAAAAAATGCTCACATACATTACTTAATTTAATTACCTTAAGTGAGCAGAAAAGGATTACTACGTATTGCTTGATGCAGAAACTGAGAATCAGTACTTTTTAGGAAGTTGCCTATGGAAATTCAAGTACCAAAGGATTGAGACTTGAACCCATGTCTTCTGATCCTATGTCTGTTTCTCCTTCCGCTAAATAAAACTGCATTGTAGATCTGTCCCCACCCACACTACACAGGGTCCATGCATTCTCACTTTTTATGACTGCAGAGTGACCACAGTAGTGTAGGGCACAAGTATGTGCTTATGAATCATTACAACCCATTGTTCCATTATGCAAATGGCTCATTAGGAAGCAGAATGTTGGAGCACTATGGTAAGGTTTTCTTTAAATAAGAGAAAGCATAAATGTTTTTAACCTCTCTCTCCTTTTTTCTCATGTGTATAACTGTAACAGCAACAAACAACTAAATAATTGGGCTATGTTTTAATATCTCAATTTTAACATTATGGTACTAGAAGACAGTATGATATTATCAACATGTAACTGGAAAATATACTGGTTGTGCAACTTTGCTATGAGCATTTACCCTATTACTAACCAATATATAATCATGTAATAGGTTAGTTGTAAAAATTCAGTAATAGAATGATGGAGTTGCTTCAAAAGTGCATTTTTGCTGGAAGTAAAGAAAATGAGCCACATTACGAGATGATTTACTATTGGGCAAATTTAAAAGGTAAGCATCTTTGGTGCTTTTAAAATTAATCTATTCTCATAAATACACCACTTTTCATAAAGGAAATTTACTAAAACCTGTTTATAAAGGTCAGTGCACAATTGTATTTCAACGTCTCAGAGTACGATATAAAAGGAAATCAGATGGGTTTGCAAAAAATAAATTTTATACTGGATGTCAGAGACTGTTTCTTGACAGGGAGAGTTGCTTGACCCTGATGTGTACAGCATGGTAAGCAGCTGTAAACAGCTTTATAAGCCACGTCTCTGTGAACTATCAATTGTCTGAAAACACAAATGTAGACAAAGGAGCATAACTTATAAAGGGTAGAGCCGCATTCTGTATTATAATATTAGTCAAGATGCTCTTTAATTCTGCTAACTCACAATTCCTTAGTATTTATAAGAGTTCTTTGAAAGTAATAAAGCAAGGAAAAGGAAAAATAAGTATTATAGACACCAAATCCCTTTCTAGCTTAATATAATTTGACCCTTTAACAATAATGAAGTCCATATATGTATCTTATTTTTCATGCATGCTCTCTGTTAACCGCTGAGTCGATAGCCAAATCACACTTACTTCTCTTCTTAAACCTGTGTCTCCACAAGAAACAAAAGAGGGGGAGGTCAGAGTTGTGTCCTGTTGATTACAGGTGTTCTCACATCTGCATGTCACTATCACCTGCACTGAGCCAGGTCAGGGATGGAAGTGGGAAGAGAAGGGGATCTTGGGACACTGGATATTTCCTCTGTCTCAGAGGAGGAGCTTCTGACACCAAAGAGAGGCTCTTGAAGGGCAGGTTTTGGGGTTTCTTGGCGCCATCCACTGAGCACCCTTGAGATTGATTCACCCTGGGCTCAGAAGAAGCAGGCAGCCCGTGCCAGGGGACCTCGTTACCTGTGAGCACATTTACCTGATTACGTGAGACCATGCTTTGGGAGTCTTAGGCAGTTTTCACTGCAAGCAGAAAACAGATTATTTTAAAAAATAAATAAATATTCTATTTTTATACAGTTGGGCCTTGGAAAACCATGGTTACAAAGCTCAAGTGAGCTCTAGCTAAGAGCCACTATCTTGGATTCCAGGAAACTAAGCAGTTGTCTGTGTAGTCAAGAACAATGCTCAGCATTAGAATCTTTTCCCCTTTGAACTAAAACAATCAATTTTAGCTATAGCTTTCTTTCCATAGGAATCAGAAATGGGACTGCAAAACTGAAAAGAGAACAGAAGCCTCCCAAGAAGGCCAGGAGATTAATGAGTGTCCAAAAGCAGCTGAGCCAGGACTTCATCCTCAAGATCCATCAGGCAAATGGTTAAATACACCAGGCTTCGTGGGCCCAGTCTGGAGTTATCCTGACACTGCTAGTCCTGCTCAAACCCAGGCAAATTTTCCCCTAAGGGAATTTTCTTCTATTTTTTTTCTTTTATATTATATACCTCTTATCCCCAGATCCCACCAATTCTCCTCCAAGTTAATTTTTCCACACTTGGTAAAAAGTTGAAGCCCTGCATTGATTTCTTAATAAAAAAAATTTTAAATTTTTTTTTGTATTTCCTGTTCTTTTTTCTCTACTGAATTTTTAATCATTTTTAAATGTCAAAAATGATGAAATAAAAAAGTTTATAGAAAATATAAGAATGTTCATAACATTTGTCCTTACCCCTATAAGTTTCAAAAACATGATAAATACAGCCAAACTTGAATTTCTTAGAAAACTCAAACATTTTTAATTGTTATTGAAAAAGTTTGTATCTCCTGCTCTTTCCTTGTTTATAGCTGAATATCTTCATAGGTGTTGTAACTTGCAGCATTTTGAGAATCAATGTATGATTAGATAATCACCTATTTTTGGTGCTACTCTGTTGATATAATGGGTAGTTTACATTTTTCTGCTCTAAATGGAGAGGTTCCAAATTTGCAAGTTATCTTAAGTAGGGGCTAGTTACTATTGGAAATGTAAATCAACATTAGGTATTAAGAGAACCCCTCCTCCATGTGAGAAGTGAATGCAAAGCTCCTTTTAGTAGAGACAATTAGGAGGTTTCTAGACACATAGGAACGGATGTGGAAAATTTTCTATCGCAGAAGTCTAAGTTTGGAGGTAGATGTAGGTGTAAACTTCTTTTATGTTTCAGGGATTAAAAAAATGAAATCTACCAGAATTCTGTATTTACAAATAATAAGACAATGCAGGTGAATACAGTTAGTGGTATCTTCTGGCAGATGGCCAAGCAACTTCTTAATTCAGCCTCCATAACCTTAGTAGCTCATGGCAAGATCTTTGGGTGATCACTGACGTCATAAATAAGAGTCAAAGGGATCACATAAACAAGACTAGTGTCTGCTAACACTAACTGATAGAATAAAAAAGGGGAGAAAACGATCCAACATGGGAAGCAGGATACACAGCAGACTCACAGAATGGCAGATGTCCTAAACAGCACTCTGGCCTCAGAATCAGCCCTTAAGGCATTTGGATATGGCTGAAGAGCCCATGAGAGTATTTTAGGCATGGAAAGCCAAGACACTCTGGCATAAAAACAAAAAAGAGAGGACCTAAATTAAGATCTCTGCAAGTGAGATACAGTAGAAAGAACGGGCCATCAAAGAAGGAGGTACTTTTCTCTGAAGGGAGGAGAGAACTTCCACTTTGACTATGACTTTGTCTAAATAAGATCAGAGTTGGTGAACTCAAAAGACTTCCATAGCCTTGGCAACTCATGACAAGAGCCTAGGGAGATTACTGACGCCATAAACAAGAGTGTCAAATTGTTAAGTCAACAACAGGAGTCACTGTGCACTTACTCCCCATGTAGGAGCTCTGTCCTTAATGTGTTCAATGTGAATTAATGCTACAACTAGTACTCAAACAGTATTTTACACTTTATGTTCTGTGTGGGTGAAAACTGATGAAATCTTTACTTAATATATACTAAACTGATCTTCTGTATATAAAGAGAATTGAAAATGAATCTTGATGTGAATGGAAGGGGAGAGAGAGCGGGAGCTGGGAGGGGTGCGGGTGGGAGGGAAGTTATGGGGGTGAAAAAGCTATTGTAATCCATAAAGTGTACTTTGGAAATTTATATTTACTAAATAAAAGTTAAAAAAAATTAACAACAGGAGGCACTGTGCACTTACTCCCCATGTAGGACCTCTGTCCTTAATGAGTTGACCTATGAGAATTAACTGCAAAACTTGTTCTCAAACAGTACTTTATACATGTGTGGGGAGGAGTGCAAACTGTTGAAATCTTTAAGTATAGAGTTGGTCTTTGGTCTTCTGTATATAAAGTTAATTAAAAGTTAATCTTAATGAAGAATGGGATGGGAGAGGGAACAGGAGGTGGGATGGGAGTGGGGGCAGGAGGGTGTGTGGGGGGGTAATAATCACTATATTCCTAAAGTTCTACCTATGAAATTTGCATTATTTAAATAAAAGCTTTAATAATGAAAAATAAAGAATGTTGATCATTAAAAAAAAATTCTGGTCAGCAAAGTTGTTTTTAAGGTATGGAGATACAAGCAACTAAAGTGCTGAGCATGAGACAATATTGAGTCGCTGCGAACTTTACCTCAGCCTGACACTGCGTAGGAAGAAGTGCCCCGTCCACAACCGTAGTTACCTGTATCTGTAAGAGCTTGTACTGGGCCGGCGCCATGGCTCAATAGGCTAATCCTCCACCTGCGGCGCCAGCACACCAGGTTCTAGTCCCAGTCAGGGCGCCGGATTCGGTCCCAGTTGCCCCTCTTCCAGGCCAGCTCTCTGCTGTGGCCAGGGAGTGCAGTGGAGGATGGCCCAAGTGCTTGGGCCCTGCACCCCATG